TTCAGACTTGTTATTTTTCCAGACAGAACTCTTAAATATACCTAGGGGATAGCAGGGCCCATTATAATGTACCAATTAATTTAACCTAAATTTTAATTAGAAATGACCTACATGTGGCGGATCCAGGTTTTGAGGAAAGGGGGGGGAGGTAAGGGGGTATTATCCTCAAAAAATTATGATAGATGGTGAAAAAAACTGTCTTTGCAATCTAGTTTATATAAAAAATAGGGGGGATCAAAAATACATGATTGTTCCCTAATATATTTCCCCCCTTTTAAAATATCATGCTATGATCTTCATAGGACGGAAAAGATAAAGCACAGAGCTTGAGGGAAGACCTTGATATGGGAATAGCAGAGATAAAAAAATGTCCAACCTGCAGCACCCAGTTCACAAGGGAGAAGGACTTCAAATACCACCAGAAAGGTTGTCATGAGTGCATTTGCGAGGAATGCAATGAATCGTTTGACCATGAGCAAAAGCTAAAGAGGCATAAAGACATGAAACATAAAGACAGCAACAAGTGTGATCATTGTCAAAAGACTTTTGCAGGGAAACGAAATCTTATAAGACACCAAAAGTCACATGTTTAATTAACCTATCCTGCATTTAGTGATTTTAACTGGAGATGATTTGAAAGGACTATTGGATCAATCTATAATACATAATTGTTTTTGTTTTTAAATTATTATTATCGATTTTTGAAATTAATTGTGGTCATTGCAGCACATGTACATCATGTTACTGTTCAAACCAAATTTTAAATCAATACAATGTTGTGTTAGACTGTAACAAGAAAGAATGAATTAAAACTTATTTACAATTTCAAACCTTCAATCTTTTCAAAGTTTTACGTTTGTACAGCTTAATCTTCAGAAGATAGACCACCCCCCACTTTTTGGGTGAAATAACTGGAGGCCCAGGCCTTAATTTACCTGAGTATTAGTTAGCGCCCCATGTGAATCAATGGCTGAACTTTGCTTATAATTTTCCTCAATCAGAATATCAGCAAACAAACCTTCATACCCACAAGGTTTCACTTGAACAAAAATAGAATCAAATTATAAGTGTTTGAAATTGGCTAGAGTACTATATGGTTGTATGGCATCGTTTTTTCCTTTGCATGTGCTTTGTCTTGGATTTCATAGTATGGGACCCAGACTTCTTACTACTTTTAGTGTTTGTTTGTACTACTTTAGCCAAGTCATGGGTGCGCTTCCTCTTGGAGGTTGGTTCTTGTAGTTGTACTGGTCGCCCTTTTGATACAACGTGACGGCTTCCACTACCACACTTTCGTTTTCTGTTGGGCTGGACTCGGATCTTTTTTCCTTTTCCGGTTTTTTTCACCTCACTGGACCCGAAAGAAAAAAGAGCGCTTGCCAAATTAGAATGCATAGATCTAGCAGCGGTTAAGGATGTTACCCTTTTTGCGAACCTGATTACACCTTTAGCCAAATTAAGGTCTCTTGAGCTTTGGAGCTTTTGAATTATTTGTTCACAAGAGTTTCTCAACAATTGTTCAGCGTTTGCAATGGAATCATCCTAATCATCATCATTGCTTTGTATTGGTTCAGTGGAATGTTCATCCTCATCATCATTGCTCTGTATTAGTTCA